GCACTCGGTACAAATTCGCTCTTGACAAATGGCAAGTGAAGTCATCGTCGCTGACAGAGAGACATAGATGAGAGGGGCAGACTTTTTTCCAGAGGAGGTTCAGCCTCTAAGTCGAGATGATCCTGCACACAAACAATGACAGCACAGCTGCTGGTGCTCCGAAGCACTAGCACGCAGGCCTGTGGAAAACAGATCTTTCCCTTTGAGCTACCCAGATGTGGAATTATAGGTGTCTTTAGAGGAGAGAGAAGAATGCCCAAGGGCCAGGCATACTGGAGGGCAGAGCACGAGCAGATGACAAGTGGGAGGCAAAGCTCTGACCCTGGGGTACAGAAGAAACAAGCGTATTTGAGGATGGAGGATGATGCGTTTGGCCTTGGATCCCATAAGACTGGGTGTCTGTGGGTTTTCCACGTGGGAAGGTGTTCTGATCGGCAAAGCCAGAGACCTGGAGATGGGGGTGGGATGGGGGCTGGCCTCTGGCGCTATCTCTGTGCAGACGAAAACTGAAACTCAGGGCAGTCATGAGAAAGCAAACAGGACGGCGACAGTGAAGAGCTGTAGACCCATCAGAGAAAGAGCAGGGGCTGTTCCTTCAGGAAGACATCCTAAGGGGCCCTCAGACCTCTAAGGCATCTTATTATCTTTAATTAAATCTTAATCTATGGGATGAGATGCTTGTGTAACTTTAATATGTATGTTTTATGCCCTATTTATATCTGAAATCAAAACTTCAAAACAGCTCTAAACAACTTTCTTTAAATAGCTCTCTCAGTATATATCTGTCCTATAGCTAATCTAGGATGTGTTAATTAGCATGGTTTAGCCTTTCTACAATGTATGCATTATGTCAAAACCTCATGTTGTCTACCATAAACACATATAATCTTTATTGATTAATTTTAAAAATTACTTAAGAGCCGGTCTGCACAGGCATCCTGGTGTGTGCCTGTCCCTGGATATATTTTCATTTAAAAATTGATTATGACACTAGAACAGTAAATAGAATTGTTCTCAAAGCATCTGCAGAAGAGGGGATACAGTTAACAAAGAAACTGCTTCAATCTGGTGAAATCCAGTCTCTCACTGAAGGCCCAACTCCAGCGTCTCTACTCTGACAGAGACCCTCCCAAGTGACCAGGCCAAGGTCACCTCTGTCCTCTGCATCCTGGGATGGACCTTATAGCCAGTAGACCCCACATTGCATCAGACCAGGGTTGGCTTGGTTGTGAGCTGCTTGACAAGACCAATTGCCTCCTGGTCGCTGGACTGCAGCCCTGATCCGCTAGCGCTGGGGAGGGTGTTGGTTGGACTGGCCTGACTGCTGACTGGCTTGCATCCGGGGTATTGGGGAGTCCTGGGCCCACCACACTCTAAGATGAACAGAATCTCAGGGAAAAAGGGAGAGACGAAGCACAGATTCCTGGATTTGCAAGAGAAAGCCTGTTGAGCTCTGAGTTCTGTATCCGCAATGCCCAGGGGTAGAGAGCTCAGGATTATCCATGCCAGTCACACACCAAGGCCCAACAAATGGCAGTCACCCCTCTGAGGGCTCCTCACGTTTTCTATGACACCCTCATTTCATGCTGCCGCGTCTGGCATCTGCGGCGCTGCCCCCTGCTGACCTGCCCTGCAGCCTGTGGTGCTGGGGCCATATTAAGGATGACAGGACTGGTGTTTACCTTCTCCTTCTTAGAGTCAAAAGTGCAGGGAGCTGTTTCTGAGGCTCTGTCCCCTGTGCGCCTTGGAGAACAGACCAACTACAGAACATATTTGTACATTCTAAGCAACTCTCCCCAGCAAGTTCCCAAGCCGCGTGTTTGGGGGAGATTGCTCTATTTGAACAGGAATGTGAAGGAGGCGAAACAATATTAAAAGGCATTTTTGTAAATCTGGAAATGGAACGTATCAAGAGCAGCTTTCTTTCATTTCATGCTACCACCTGTACTACTAGGACCTTGTAAGCCGATTCCCTAGCAAGTGAGCCAGATCCAAAATCAACATAGAAAATTCACAGGTGTGAGCCATGTCTGACCCAGGACCAGCTAAGCCCAACCGCGGAGCATGATTTTACAGCTCCAAAAAGCATCCCCAGAACTAACGGGAAGTATAATAGTCTCTCTGCTGGGCTTGAATAATATAATTCTTTACAAAGACTAAGTCAAGGGCTGGGAAGGTGGCTCAGTGGTAGAGTGCTGTCTTGCATGCATGAGGCCTTGAGTTTGATTCCTCAGCACCACAAAAGTGGAAAATGCCAGAAGTGGTGCAATGGCTCAAGTGGTAGAGCACTAGCCTTGAGCTGAAGAGCAGAAGGACAGTGCCCAGGCCCAGAGTTCAGGCCCTATGACTGACAAAAAAAAAAGACTAAGTCAAAGCTCAACAAAATAAGTTCCAGGAAATGGGTACTTACAAGAAGGAGGGTGGGACCAAGGGAATAGGGGTTGATAAATGAAAAGGGGAAGGGGAGGAGAATGCAGTCAAGAATGCCACACAATTAAGAAAAATAAGAGAAGGGGTGGGTCAAAAGGGGGTGAAATGTTGAAGGGACAAGTGATCAAGATTCATGGTATTCATAAACTGTTTTCTTAAATGGCAAAAATTCAATACATATCCTACAAAATTAAGAAAAGTGAGGGATGGGTGGGCTGGGAGGGAGGGGTAAGAATACTGAAAGAGGTGATAGTGATCATGACACACTGTATTCATAAGCAGTTGAATGGCAAAAAAGAAAAAAGAAAAAGAACTCCCAAACCTAACAGCACCGGTAGAAAGGCCCAAATTCTCTACTTCCTATTCATAATAAAAAAATAAATAAATGAATTTAACTGTGTGCCAGTGGCTCATGACTGTGATCCCAGCTACCTGTGGATCAAAGCCAACCCAGGTAGGATAAGTCCATAAGACTTTTATCTCTAATTAACTAGCAAAAAGCCAGAAGCAGAGCTGTGGCTCAAGATTAGGGACAGCACCCAGACCTGTGTTCAAGCCCTAGGACTGACACATCAATTAATTAATTAGTCAATTAAGTTATGCAATCTAAGAGGTAAGAACAATTAAATCTTGAAGGATGGATTTTAAAAAATTATGAGAAACAGGGGACAACTGGCTCATACCTGTCATCCTAGCTATGCAGGAGTCTAAGATGGTGGAGATTGTCATTCAAACCAGACCACAAGACTCCATAACCAAAACAACCAGCAAAACTCAAGATGTGAGACCCAAGTGGTAGAGTACTAGCTGAACAAACAAACTGAATGAGTACCAGACCCTGAGTTCAAATCTAAATTACCCCCCACACATACACACACCAAAAAAACCCCACCAAAAACAGGTAGGAATACAAGAAAACAACACAGACTAATGAAAGATAGTACCTTCAAAGTCCCAGATGCATTCAGCAACACCACACATTCACAGAGGCACTGGCCACTTAGAAAGGAGGGCTACAGGGTATACCAAAAGGAAGAGAAACAGAGGGGCCATTGACTAGACTCTAATGCTTTCTTCAAGCAAAACAGGAAAAGAGAGCCCCAGTCTACTTTCTTCTCCCACGCTGCAATCTAACATCCTTTTGGTCTTGTTCACAGATTCTGTGCATCATGAGTACAGACTGATGCATTACAGATACTGAATAAATATTTGTTAAATAAATCGAGTTATCCTCTGTACTTGGGTGAATTGCCTAAGTGACCACTCAATGACTATTTTTGTTTTTGTTTTTGTTTTGGTGCCAATATTGGGACCCTCAACTTGGGTCTCACATTCTCACTCACAGCTGGCACTCTACTACTTGAGCTACATTTCCACTTCCAGCTTTTGGCTGGTTAACTGGAGATAAGATTTGTCTTTCTTGGGCTGGATCTGAATGGAGATTCTCAGTTCTCAGCCTCCAGAGTAGCTAGGTTGTAGGTGTGAGACATGGGTGCACAACTCTTATCGGTTGAGATGAGGTCTCTCAGACTTTTCCCCTTAAACTATGATACTCTTGATCTCTAGCTCCCGGGTAGCGAGGATGACAGACATGAGCCACCATGTTTGACCTTATTCTTCAAGTTCGGTTGTCTTTTCGTTATCCTTCTGTCAACATTGTTAACACTTTCTATTGTTATTATAAAGGTCACATGCACAGGGGTTATAGTCACATATGTCAGGTAAAGAATACATTTCTAATATTTTCTAATCTATTCCTTATTTCTTCATTGACATGCAGGTTGTTTGGTAATACGCGGCCATGTTTGGGGACTACTGAGATAGATGTTTTGTGATTGGCCTTTTGCTGTTTTAATGCTGGAGCTTGCATGTTGTATCGCCTCATTCTTTCCAAACATATTTCAAAACCCGGGCCACTCCAGGGAATGTTCCTCGTGTCCTGGCTGGGATGTGTACCCGGTTGCTGTGGGATGTGAACGTTTCCCTACGCTTCTTTTTCACCCTTTCCCTTCCAGGGATTTGTCATGCCCGCCGCCCTCCCCCCCTCCCAAGCCAGGGCTTCCATTGGTAGAGCATTATTTTTCTCCTGATTCCTGCTAGCTAGATCCTCCCCAGGCCAAAGCCACCTCTTCTTCCTCCATAGCTCTCCTGGACTTCTGTTGCATGTGCAAAGCAAAGGTAAAGTGAGTTTAGTTAAAGTAAGCGTAAGTGAAGGCACACGCGGGGAGGATGGCCATTTGGAAAAGGGTGAAAATGGCGCACATGTAGGAAATGTGGGCAAACTGCAGAGACCAATGCTATGGAGTCAGCACCTGCCACCACGGTGGTGCCAGCTCTCCTAATCCTCCCGGACACAGAGCACCCCCACCCCAATCACAGGGTCTCCCCAGGAAGCCTTTCCCCTGACCCTTACAACATCCAGACTGCCTCGCTGGAGGCATGCTTGGCGTAGGGAATGGAGCCGGGAGCAGCTCGACAGGAAGTGCCCTGGGCGGAATATCTAGCTTTGTCCCTTTTCTGCCTGCGCTTCCCTTCCCTCCCCTGGGCTGGGTACACAGAAGGACGCTCACCTTCTCCCACTCGCGGTCTTTGTTCAGCACGATCACCACCAGCCTGGGGTGCACCTGGTAGCCTTCCTCGGTGAAGGACAAGTCTTTGCCATCCCATGTCACATTGACCATAAATCTGGACAGAGAAAGAGAGAGGAAGACAACCTTTTAGGGATGAATTAGAGGCGACAGGCCTGTGAGACCACGCGACCATCTGCCGGAGTGAAATGTAGACAGCGTCTTCTCATTCTCACTTCACACAGCTGCCATCGATGCAAGGGTGGGGACCCATTCAGGCCTTGATGCCTGACCTGGCACACTCTTCCCGTGTGAGCCTGGACTCATTCTCAGAATCCACCCCCCACGCCCCCTGCAGACATTCATAAACAACTACCTATTCTAGGAACAGGAATGCTTCTGACCAGTCAGAGCCGTAGTGCTTGCTGGCTTCTTAGAGAAGAATCTGAATGCATATTTCCATCCTGCTGTAACACACTTCTCTGAAGGAAACTGCTGGTGAACCACAGGACATTCCAGTCAACATCAAAGAAATGATGCCCTGTTTATTTATTATTCATTCAACTACTATTTATTAAGTATTTGCTACATATCAGGGCTCGGCTCCTTGGGTAAGGAAACAGACAATGCCCCTGCTCTCATGTTTATAGTCTAAGGGAGAGGGCAGTGATTACTTGGTAAATTACAGAACTAGGATACGTGCTGCAATAGAAAGAAGGGTGCGCTACGTGAAACAGGTGTGAGGTAAGGCTGAGGACGTGTCGTTTCCCCTGACTGGTGAGTGAGCACTAACTAGATGCGAAAAAAATACAAGCTGACAAAAGGGACAGTACAAGCAAAAGGCCTGTACTGATACAGATGAAGGCCTATATTAATACAGATGAAGGACCAGGAGGCTGAAGGAGAGAGAGAAAGAGAGGGATTTGTTGCAGGAGGTGAGGCTGAGAAGCTGAATGGAGGCAAAACAGTGAGGATTTTTGTAATAATCTGTTTTTGGGAAGACACTGAAGGGTGTTAATGAAGGAAGGGACATTAACAGCCTCGTTCCAGATTCTGTAGAGCATGGGCAGGAATGGTAGGATGGATACAGGGGTGCCGTTTATAGGGTGCTATCAATCTTGCAATCAAGGAGAATGACAGTGGTGGCTTGGACGCTGGTTGTGGCCAAAGAAGAAGAAGAGAAGCAGGTAAAGGGAGAATAGGCAGGGAAAGCAAAGCAGGCCGAGTGGGGTTATGCAGCAGGATTTTGTGCTGGATTAGCAGTGGGGACAGGCCAACCACGATGGCTGTTAGTATCCACCTTATGCTGCAGCTAACTTTCGGCCTAGGGACTTCCGCGATGGTAACATCTGCCTTCCGACACCGCTGTTCAGAGCCACCATGCTGAGGTCCGGATGGACTCAGGATGTAATGGTAAAGACAGCCAAGGAAACACTGCTGTGGCCACTTAACAAAGTCAGAAACTACAACAATGAAGCCTCAATGCATTCGAAGACTATGACAGAAGCACGGCCAGTGCTATCCACAGAGACAGACTCACTCAAGGCCTGCTTGGTAGTCCCTTAGCCTCCAGCGCAGCTGAGGAAGTAGAACAATGAAAGAGGAGCATGAAGCTACAGAGAATTCCACAAGGACGGACTGGCCTTGTGGGTCTTTGTCCTCTGGCCCTCCCCAGTGCTGACCACATCACATCAAAGAGAACCAGGACTCCAGCAACGGTACTTATTGTGCATCTGCTCAGTGGACCATGTGGATCATTAAAAATCATGCTCATAAAGACAAGTTAATGACATGGAGAAAATGCTCATTACAATAATGTTAAGCAAGCAGAAAAGCGGATAAAAAACAAGAGCCTGTCTGCCTGGAAGGATTACAGGTATTTTCCATTTTCTTCTAAGCAGCCTTTCTTCTCCAAATTCTTTGCAATCAACTACTTTATACCACAGAACAACTGCAACAAGGCCATTCTAGGAGAGGCAAAGTGTAATCATTATCCTATTTGACGCATTTAGGAGATCTCTGATTATTTGCTAGAAAGGTATTGTCTTCACTCCACAACTGTGTATTGTGAGTCTGTAATCTGCCAGGCCTTCCTGTGATTCCTATAGATATAGAAATTTTAAAAAACACGGTGTTTCTCTGCTCTCCGACCCATGTTCTTACACCTCAGTGACACAGACACATCAACATTTGGAAGGCTGTTTGTGAATCAGTGGAGAGCAAATGTGAGAAGTTAGGAACACACGAAGGAAAGGCCCCCTAATTCAACCTGGAAAAAGTTGAGGAGCCCTTGTGGGGAATCCTGAAGCGTGAAGGGGTGGGAGAGGTGAAAAGCATTCTGACCAGAGGAGGCATCTGAAACAAAAAAGAATGGATCAAAGGCAATGATACACACAAGGAGATGCAGGAGACATTGTAGTGAGGCTGACGGCCATGATGTGTGCAGTGAGGTAAGCCTGGGAGAAGTTCCCGTGTCAGCTGATCAGGGTCCTCATGTGATAGGCCAAAGCATCTGGGTTTTGTTTTAAAGGCCTTAAGTATAAGAAGTGAAAAGTTCTCCCACGGTTGGAGAGAACTTCAATTTATTTTTAATTTCTCATTTTTCAATTGTTTTTGTCAGTCATATGCCTTGAACTCTGGGGCTGGGGTGCTGTCCCTGAGCTCTTTTGCTCACTGCTAGCACTCTACCACTTTGAGCCAGTGCTCCACTTCTGGTTTTCTGGCGGTTAATTGGAGGTAAGGGTCTCATGGACTTTCTTGACTTAAACACAACCCATTGTCTAGATAACAAATTATTTTTCATGCCCTTTCTTCCCTTTGATGCTTGCTGGCCGGTATGGGACCAGTCCACACCAAGGGGTGTGGTCCAGATGGGCTCATCTAAGGGACATTCACATATACCTGTTTTTAATTATTGGCATGAACTGGGAGATTAGAGGAAAGCTGGACTCTAGTTAAATTCCATCAGGCTCTCAAATAACTGCAACTTAAATTAGGTTGCCACTACTTTCAGCTATTTTGGCTTTGTTCTGAGGTATTGGTCTTATTTCACTGCCAAAAACCTTGTAGGGGCTTGGTGTTCAAGTAAATTGACAGAGTACCATCCAAAATGGCACCCATCCATCGATATGGATTGATCTTTCCATCCAGACACTGGCTAACACATCTGTCCTCACATCCATTAATACCATCCTCCATCTGTCCATCTATCCATCCATCTACACATCCATCTATCAATACAGTCATCCATCCATCCATCTGTACACCTATCCATTAATACAGATATCTATCCATCCATTCATCTACATATCCATCCATCAATACAGTCATCCATACATCTATCCACCCACCCATCCAGCCATCAACACATCCACCCATCAACAATCATCCATCCATCCATCTACACATCCACCCAATAGTCATCTATCCATCCACTCATCCACCCACCAATACAATCATCTATCCATCCATCCATCTACATGTCCATCCATGAATAGTCATCCATCCATCCACCCATCCATCCACCCATCCATCCATCAATATAGTTATCCATCCATCCATCCATCAATATAGTCATCCAACCATCCATCTATATGTCCATCCATCAATGCAGTCATCATCCATCCATTTCTACTCATCCTTCTGTCAAAAGAAATGCTTGACTACCTACTACCTATCATATCATACCCCATACCAAGAACTTTGAGAAGAAAACAACACAAAATAATCATATAATTTTCAAGATGCACAAAGGGAGAGGGGCAAAAATATCTGCAATAAAGGGTAATCAGTATGAAAATAGGGATATCATGAACTAAGTTGCAAGAGCATAGGAAAATAATGGACAGTCCTATTGAGATTCTCGGGCCAGAATCAGGAACCAAGTTGGAAGATGTTCTGGCTGGTTGGAAAGAAAGAACAGGAAATGAAGGTGGGAAGGGAAAAGATATTTTGCAAACCTGCAAAGTCAAGGTCAGAGAGCTTTGAAACTTTATGATGAATCTGATGAGACAGAATCAGTTCAGGAGGGTTGAGATCTGGGGAAGACAGGAGAAGTAACTTGGGGAGTGACGCAAGACAGAGCTGTAAGTGCGTCACCAGCCTCACGATCAGAATTATACACATCCTCAATTCAATGACGGTGGAGGTCTGAAGAGCAAGTTTGCAAGGTGCAGGGAGATGAATACACAGGGCTTTGTAGTCATCAAAGCAAAAGAGAAATCAAAGAAGGCAGCCCAGCAAGCAACTTCAATGGAATGCACCGTTCATGGAATTCCAATATAAAAACTGGAGACAAAGATGACCACTGGTCTTTAACTGACTTTGTAGAAAATTAGCCACTCATTCTCTGAGCTTCCCAAAGCATGTTGTTAGCACGGCCAATTCTTGGAGGTTATTTCTTCGAGACAGCTTTTATTTCTCCGACTAGATTTCAGTTCTCCAACTATTAATAAGGTTCACCAAATGCCCCAAATATTGGTACAAAAATTTAAAAAATGTTTAGTAGGTTATCAAGAGTTTTTGAAATATCCAGGTTGGTTATCTTCTTGGAATAGACAAATGCTAGTTGTTGGAACGTCAGTGCTCTCAGAAGCCCACACATAAATAAATGCTTGGATCGCAAGGTGGTGTTACTGGCAGTGATGAACCTTTTAAAAAGATGTGGTTTAGTGAGGGGTCTTTAGGTCATTGAGGGCATGCCTTTAAGGGAGTCTCAGAAGCACTTTGCTTCTCCATGTACTCCCTCCATACAGTGTGTTACCTCCCCGCAGCCCAGCATTGAACGTCCCCAATCACAGATCACCTCAGGTATCTGTTACAGTGACAGGAAGCTGACTAACATCACAGATCAGGCAACCATTTGGATTTTGACACAGGCCTGGGGAGAGTCACAGGCAATGGCTGTCACACGAACTGAATGTCACTGTTACTGTTTTAATCAAGAAGCCAGCCTGTCCTGGTGGCCATCTTTCTTTGCTTTTGCTTGTTAAATGTATTTAAACCTCCTTCGATTTCCCATCTCTATTTCTCAGGTTCACTTTGCTTTTCTTCAATCAGATAGAATAAGCGGGTGACTATTATTTAGAATCCATCAATCTTCTTCAGAATATATAGAAA